CTCTTTCAGACAGAAGGAAGCATTTTTTTGGGGGGGCGGGATAGGCACTCTGCTCCTTCGTTCTGGGCCTCTCTGCCCACCCCGCTCACCACCGTTTTGAGGGGACTCATGAGGTTTGTGCGAAAGACCTAAAGAGAGCTTGCAGATCTCACGGTGGCGGCCACGGCAGGGTTAGAGAGAGAGAGAGCCAGGGGGGCATGGCTTGGTGCCAGCGTGGTGCCGTTCTCTAGCACCCATTGTGAAACCTACAAGTGGGTGGCTTTCTTCTGCACCGGAAGCGTGCCCCTGAAGGCCGCCTGGGCTGTGCCCGTCGGTGCTTGGAATTGCAGGTGGTGCGCAAGGGATGCTTTAGACAATGTCCCAAACTTCCTTGGGTGGGTCTCTGCATTCTTCCTCTCGTTTTTTCGGTGTCCTGATCTTCCTTTACCGTCTCCCCTGCGCTGTCTTTTATGGAGCTCCTCCAGCTGCCATCCCCTTCCTCCCCCCCTTGCTGCCCCTCCTTCCTTTCCATGGTTAGGCCAGCTCGGGCCACTGATAATAGCGGCTTTGCTCTGGCCCTGCTCTTGGTCAGGAACGCCAGGCCGTTGATTGGTTATCTGCTGGACGGGCAAGGGGAAACGGGGGCCCTGGCGGAACGGCACAAGCAAGGCCAGCCGGGGAGGCTGAGACCGCAAGAGAGCCGAGTCAACTGGGTAACAGGTTGCTTATCGGAAGAATGCTTTGGGGAAAAGATTAACCCCTGGGAGATAAGCTGGGCCGGCCTTTCTGCTGGTAGTGAGAAGGACTTATTCTTAGCCTGGAGAAGAGTAACCGCGTGTGTGTGTGGGGCAGCGGGTTGGTGGTGGTGATGGGGGAGGGTTAATCTAATTAACTCTCCAAGGAAGACCGAGACTAGTTGAAAGAGTCTTCAAGGAAGAGACATGGCAAGAGGGAGCATTTTCTCAGGAGGAAACCCTTGGACTTATTTTGGGTGCGAGTGAAGGAAACCAGAAGAGGTCCACGTTTCTTCCCAGCCTTCGCCCCCTGCTGGGGTGTCTCGGTGGGGGTGCCACTGCTTTGTGCCTGTCTTGCTGGAGGTGACGGGTGCGCAGACCAGCCGAAAGGGACCGGAGAGGAGTTATATTTAGAAGAAGGACCGGAAGAGAAGAACGATAACGCTGCCCCCGTTATCTCTGCCGTGGAGATTCCAACCCCTCATCCTTCCTGAAAAAAAGGGCAGCGTCCTGCCCACTTGGTGGCTTTTGCAGAACTCCGCTCTGGAAGAGATGAGTGTCCGTTTTTTTTTTTAACCTTTAATTGCCGAGCTGTCACGAGCCCAGCCTGAAGAGAAGAGGGAAGAATGCTCGATTGTTCCCCCCTCAGTGTTGTTTCAAACCCTAGGACAAGTTATGGTTGACACCAGCAGGACTGGAGGGCGAGAGTTGAGGGAGGAGGAAACCGCCGGGGTGTTGCTGTTGAATCTTCCGGAGAGGTGTTGGTAAGCTTTGCCGACCTCCCCATGGCGCTTCAGGGCTGCGTGAAGAAGGCGTGATCTTCCTCTACAATTTAACGGGGCTGTCTTTTATGAAATTCCTCTGGCTGTCGTAATCCTCTCCCTACTCCCCCTGGCCCTTTGGCCTTCGTGGACATTTGGGAGAAATCTAGAAGAAATAACGAAAAGGTGCAGAACCACTGCTGTGGATTCTGGCCTCGAGTGTCCTTCTGGATCATTTCGCCCAGTGTTGCTCATCTCAGGAGAGCGGGGTCTCCCTTCTTCGCCTTCACTTGGATAAAGAAAGTGCATTTTGGCCACGGAGAGTTTTTTCCACACCCTCTTTCCATTTCTATGCCACGTTCCCTGTTTTTCTAAGTGCACAGGTAACTGTGGGAAAAGCCACGGTCCGTCTGAAATAATGCGGCTCCTGGTGGCCCAGGGGGACCTCACGGTGCAGTGAAGCAAATATATTCTGGGAAAACTCACGCGGAGTTGTCTGCCTGCAACACAGACTTTTCTGGAGTCTTGATTTTTGAGTTTGGGTCAGGAGGAGACATCTGGATCCTACCTTGTGGCAGCTCCATTAGCTTTTGGGTCAGAGGAGTCTCATGGCCTTTCTGTGAGTGACAGGAAATGCTGCCAATCTCTCTCTCTCTTTTTTTGCAATTTGTGGGGACTTCTTGGAGGAGTGTTTTAAAAGCGGGGAGCACACAGGCTGTCCTCCGCTGTCGATCGCAAGTGAGGAAGTGGTGGGTGGAGCCGTGGCAGGGACGCTGGTGGTGACGTGATGGGGCTGGGAGACCACGTTGGAGAGAACATTTCTGAAAGGAAGCAGGAAGATGGACGAGCATCGTTGCGCCCGGCAGGCATGACCGTGCCCCTCTGGGCCTCCGAGGGCACCATGTGGCACATTTTCAGAAGGGAGAGGGAGCTAAATGCCCACCTGCTGTGCCAGATGTGCTGCCTAGGTCAGTATTCTGCCCACCTTTCTCTCTTTTGGGTGCCTCCTTGGTCTGGGTGGGAGAGAGTTGCAGCCTGATCCCAAACCTGCTTACTCGGGAGTAAGGACGATTGAACTTCCTTCTTTGGAGACGTATGCTAAGAGGGAGGCTTGATGCTTTCTGTCTCTCTCTTTCCTCTGAGTCACGGAGGGGAGGTGCCGTGGACTCGCCCCACTTTGTGTTGTAAGAACGGTGGAGGACACACCCTTGAGGTGGCCTTTCGAAGGGGGAAAGTTGGGGGAAAAACTGATAGCCAACATTTGGGGGGAAGGTTGATTCTTTTGGGGGTGGAGATGGCTGATTCAAGCTCTTGATCTTAGTCCCTAGTCAGAGTAACAGAGCAGAAGACAATCCAGGATGAACCCAGAACTTCAATGTAACCCATCTGAAAGTTACGCCTTGCAGCCTGATTAAAATGAATGGGAACAGGGCAAACTCCAGCTCCTTCTGGCGTGGCCTACACCCGTGTTCCTGATGTACCTTGTCCCATGTGAATTAAACAGGAATTCGAGAGGTCTGTTGGTTTTCTCTCGTGGGCGCCAAACTTGTCTTTGGCAAAGCCTGGGCTTCCCTGAGGGTCGAACCTCAAGCCTTTGAAATTTGGATGTGGCGGTCGTCAGCTGGGTGGTCGTCAGCAACTTTGAATCCCAGACGCTCTTATCCTGCCCTTTAAGGAGGTTCTGTTGGTGTTTTGAAAAAGGGCTCAAGCATCTCCTGTTCCATCCACTGTTGTCCTTTGAGCGTGGGAGTGAACGTTTGTAGTTGCATTTAGGCAGCTCCGCTGGACAACGGGTAGTTAAAATTCCAGGCGAAGTTTTGAGTGACTAAAGATATTTCAAGCAGTTAGGAGACACAGCCTTGCTTTTAGGATTCAGGTAAAAGGAAGAAAGGTGGGGAATGATGGAGGGTTGAAGCAAAGGGGCATTCGGCTCCTCTCTAGCAGAATGCCGAAGCCGCCACCACCTGCACCGTCAACTGTTTTGTGATCCACTACGGGGTGTGTGTGTGCGTGGTGTTGTGAGACAGAGGCGTTGGGCCCCGAGCGGTTGAGTCAGATTTTGTTGGGGGAGGGGGGGAAGGCAATTCTCAAGAAAGTGGCTCGTCAGGCAGCCCAGATGCCTGGCTCCAACCTCAAGGGTCTTCAGCTTGTTACTGGTGTTGTTTCTTCCTTTTTAAAAGTTTTTTTTTTACCAGGAGCAAGAGATGGAGCAACCACACCATGCCGTTTGGCTGTTAGTGCTCGGAGCAGAGTGTCTAGAAGTCTCCCTAGACAAACACAGAGATGAATGGGAACAGAAAGTGCTTAGAATGGAAAGGGTAGGGATGTTGGTGGGAGTCAGTTGACGTTGGGCTGCTATAATGAGCTTGAACCCTGCTGATTCACAGAAGAGATGTATTTGACCTGGGTATAGTAGGACGTACTCTTTTTTAAAAAAGAAAGATGTGTTATGCGTTTTAGAGAACAAACAACATTGGATAGAGAACCAGCCAACCAACCAAGAACACATTGTTGAAATTTCTGCTCCTCTTGTCCGCCTTTGCATGTTGAACTAATCCAGTCTCCTATGTTCTCAAGTGTTGATGGGATTTCATAGGAAGCCTTTGTTTGCTACTTGTGACAGGATCCAGGCAGGCAAAAAATATTTGGCCAATTCAGGGTCAGATCAAGGTGGATGAAAAATATTGGGCTGGGTCAGATTGGCTAGTGACAATGCAGTGCGATAGGCTTTCTGGTGCAATATGTGGCTTGGCTTGCTCATTCGAGGTCCCTTGAGAAGCACCTTTCTGTGCTGTATTGTTGTCTATGTCACACTGGATTCGGGATTGATTCTGGAAGAGGGGACGAAGGCGGTAGCCTTTCCCAGCAGGGTTGCATTCTCCCCATAGCGGTTCTCTGTTTCTTCCATGGGAAGAGGCGAGACGTGGAGCAAAGCTGTCTGTGACACAGAAACTGTGGGCCTCTGGTCAAGGTGACGAGCCCGCTGAGAACAGAACCGGTTTCCTGCTCTCTGTGTTTGAAGGAAGGCACCCCTAATTGGCGCTATGCCTGGAAAACCTTCGGGCCTCCCAGGTGTCCTTGGGCTGAGTCTGAGAGCCTAAAATAAATATCAAATCCCTAAAATCCAATGAACCAAAATACAGTTGAAAAGAATAAGCCACTCATGGCCTGCATTGTTGCAGGGCTGCTTCTTAGCATAAATAGAGACGGGAGGTTTCCTGCGTCTGCACGCCGGAGAAGGATGGCGAAAGGTGCGGACCGCAACTGGAGGGCGGGAGAGGGGGATAGTATGAGAAAGACAGAGACCTGTGGGCCTCAGTGGGTTGGAGTTTTTGTGTCGTGTTTCCTAATCATCCTTGCGGGCTGACTCCAGGTCCTAAATAGGCACGGGGGGTGTGTGTGTGTGTTTCTGCTTAGCAACTGCAGGAAGGCGGCCAAACGTGAAGCTTGCTTGTTTTCGCTCCCTCCCAGATGACTGTCATGCTAACCGAGCTGCCTTCTTTCTCTCTCTCTGTTCTTTTGACAGATGAGCGGGATCGAGTCCAGAAGAAAACATTCACGAAATGGGTGAACAAGCACCTGATGAAGGTGAGCCTGGACTCCTTTTGGGTTCTCGCTGGTCAGAGGTCGGGCGTCCTGTTTTTGTCCCGTGGCATGGTGCGCCGTTTGGAGGGCTCTTGTGTTGGCCTGCTCTTTTTGTGCCAGGGTCGTGTGGAGAGGACAGCGCCATGGACTAGGATCCTGGGTTCAAATCCCCACTTGGCCAGAGAAACGCCCTGGTGGGGTGCCAAGGGCGAACCACTCCTTGAACATCACACACAGATCTTTGGGGGGAAAAAAAGCAAGGATAGCCATAAGTCAGGAGCTGCGTGAAAGTGTGTGTGTGTGTGTGTGTGTGTGTGTGTGTGTGTGTGTGTGTGTGTACACACACACACACACACACATACAAAGCACGCACGCATGCATGCACGCACACAGAGGCTAGTAAGGGGAGGGGGCAAGGGGCATCCATCTTTGCAAAGCACCTCTAGAAGCAGAGCCTCCTCATGGACCCTTTGGTCTCCTTCCCTGCCCAGCACACCCTTTCCCCTCAGGAGAGGGCCAAATCAAAGCCGCCCTCCCACACCTCCTCCTCTGCTTTGGTCCCCCAGGTGCGCAGCATGCATGCATGCACACAGAGGCTAGTAAGGGGAGGGGGCAAGGGGCATCCATCTTTGCAAAGCACCTCTAGAAGCAGAGCCTCCTCATGGACCCTTTGGTCTCCTTCACTGCCCAGCACACCCTTTCCCCTCAGGAGAGGGCCAAATCAAAGCCGCCCTCCCACACCTCCTCCTCTGCTTTGGTCCCCCAGGTGCGCAAGCACATCAACGACCTCTACGAAGACCTGCGGGATGGCCACAACCTCATCTCTCTGCTGGAGGTCCTCTCGGGAGTCAAACTGGTGAGTTGGCCAAACCTCCGGAGTTTCCCCATGGCGTTCCTTTCCCTCTCTTCCACAATCCTTCCGTTGCAGGTCTGACATCTTTTGGATCGCATCTTTTAGGTGTGGCTTCCCCCCCCCCCCATTAAAAGTACCTTTGAAACCCTTGCTGTAGCAGAGGGCAGGCGAAGGCTGGCCTGTGACCCTTGGGGGGCTGGCCTGTGCAACGTCCTGGGCATGCCCTCCTTCTCAGATCAGCACCCCAGGAAGCATCGAGGCAGGTGCGGTGATGGTGGGGGCCAAAGGGTCACCGAACAGTTCCCTGAGGAGCAGCCCCAAGAGAGGGGAAGATGCCATCTCTGGAGTTCAGGCCCTCCTTGCTCTGTTGGACTGGCAACATCTGAAGCTCTTGACTGCTCCTGGGTGGTCTTCCGTCGGTGTTCTGACCGTGCCGGGCCCTGTTGGGCTTCCCAAATTGCACTAGATTAGTGTAGCCACGGAGTTGTGGTGGGAGACAAAGGTTTGCATCAGGTTAAGCAAGCAAAAAAAGGAAGAGAAAAGGTCAACAGAGGTCGCTGGACCTTTCATGGATGGCACCTAGCAGAGCTGACTCAAAGACCTCACCAGGAACTGCCCTACAGTTTAGATGCTTTTCTTTTGATATCCAGGGATCTCAGATAGCCTTTGATCACCAACTCCATCCTCTCCCCACCCATGGTTTAACCCCCCCACCACCATAAAAATCAGAAAAGGAGCACTCTCTGCAGGTGGCCTTTTCCTGAAGGAGACTCGGCCACTCGACTAGGAGGGCTGCAGTTTGGTGTGGGCAGTTGTGGCTAGCCAACGGGCAGGTGGGCTGGCCAGCCAGCTGTGTCCCTTCGCTGTTGAAGGCAGGAGAGATCAGACACAAGGCTGGTTGGTGGAGGCCTTTCCTGCCATTGGCTGACATGAAGCCCCTGTCAGCTTGCTTTCTGGAAGGGAGGAGGCCCATTCCAGGAGGTGGCTTTCTCTTGGGTCAGACCAGAGGGTTGGCACATCCACCGAGATCCTTCCCACGTGGCCCTTTGTCTCTCTTAACAGCTGGAGAGGGCAAGGGTTGGACCGTCGGTCTCCTGTGGGCAGAGAGTGATCTCCATCTCTCTCTCTCCTTGAACTGAACTGCTTGGTCCCATCACAGGCTATTCTCTTCTTGAAAAACGGGATGGCCTGTTGCTTTGGAGCTGAACCCGAGAGGCTGCCTTGAGAGGCAAGGGAGACCCCCGAGTTGGATCCATTCTAGGTCTCCCATCCCAGGGAATATTTGCAGCAGGGAAGGCCCTGGCTGGTCCCTTTCCTTCTTTGGTTCTTCAGATGGAGGAGGAGGAGAAGGAGAGGCCCCACCTTCCCCTTTCGTCCTCCGGGGCCTTTTGCTTGTGCCTCGTTCTCCTTTCCGTTGGGTGTGAGTGTGTGTCCTGTGTGCCATTCTCTCCCCCTTTGGCGTTGTCTCTCCGTCCTGGTGGCTTAGCAGAAGGAACCTTCAGGGCAGAAGGACCTTCGGATGGTGACAGTGCCACCCTGGTGTCGCTCAAGCGGCGAAGAGGATGAGGAAGAAGAGAAGGAGGATGGTGACACAGTAGGTTGATGCCCTCCTTAGGGCAGCCGTAATTGCTGGCACCCGGGGACACCTTCAGATAATCCAGGCCTGACTGAGTTTTTTCAGCACGAATGAGCTGGGACTTGTTTCAGAGCAAAGAGAACGGCACGTGGCGCAGAGTCGTTCCCTCGATTTAAGAACCTCTGATCCCTCTGCTTCTTACACGGATTAAAAAATTCAGCGAGGTGGTTTTGCAATATATATGAAAAGCAGACAATGGAGTAGTGTAAGGAATGCACAACTGGAGTGCGTCGGCGGGGGGGGACACAAAGAACTTCACACACAGTATCTCGACAATAAGCTGCACAACAGGCGGCTGTGATTATCCCTGTTTTGCGGGTTGCTTGCTGAGGCTAAGGGTGAGCGGATTTGCTCAAGGCTTCCTGGCAAGTTTGGGGGGGGGAAGAGAGAACAGATGAATTGTTTTTAGAGCCTCTGTGTATGTGTGTGCGCACACATTTGTGTGCATTTGGGAGGTATATTTTTTGTCCAAACTGTACAGGACTCCTCTTAACCACCTGTATGCCATATAGGGTAGAGACAGCGGGCAGACTGGGTGCTTCCGGGTACCCTCCACAGGAGAGCAAGGGGCAAGGGAGTATGTAAGGCTGGGCAGGATTATTCCAGGAACCCTGAGTGGTTCCTGTATACAGCCGTGGTTCCAGCCTTGGGTAACCCAGGTGTTTTTGGACTGCAATTCCCAGAAGCCTCCAGCCCTCGCTGTACTGGCCAGGATTTCTGGGAGTTGTAGACCAAGAACATCTGGAGACCCAAGGTTTGGAAGCGCTGCTATAAAAAGGAAGTGGGCAGTTTGGGTGCAAGAGAAGGACATGCAGACGGCAGCTGGAAGCCATGCCCAGAAAAGTCTTCATTTAAAAGCAGCAAAGAGTCTTGCGGGACTTTGAAGATGAGCAAGGTCTGTTTAGCATCACTTTTCGTGGACGATGGCCTTCTTCTATCCAGGGAAGATCATGCCGAACCAAAGTTAGGAGATGCCATCAGACTGTTTGCGGTTTCTTCTGCAGCAGATGAAATTAGCTACCCACGCGTTTGGAAACGTGGAAGCACACAGACACACACAGAGGAGCACAGATACGACACTTTGCCTCTTTCTTTCTCTGACATATATTCTTTTTGACACAACAAACATTCTATGCATCCAGATCTGATTTTGTCTGCAGGCTAAATTTAATTCAGTTTCAAAACACGGTTGTCATTGTTTAATTTAATTTAATTTTCATTTGAGTAAAATGCAGGTTTTCTATCCTGACTGCTCTCCTCTCAGGTGTGTGTGAGGTTGGATTTCTGCAGAAGTTTGAAGTATTTCCTGGATTATCTGAGCGTGTCTTGTGGTGCCAGGAGTTAGACGCGTGAGGAATACTAATCCACATGGTGTGAGCGCACACAGATCTACCGTTTGTGCTGCTAGGTTCTGCACACACCCACGAACCCCCTGTGACTTTACGCCGGTAACCACAAGCCTTTGGTCAGGCATGCATGTACATCTGTGCGGATGCGTGAAAACCCACGTGTGTGGATTTATCTTTTGCAATCTGCTCACCGGTAGAAAAAAAGCATTTCTGTCATGAATGTAAGGGAAAGCTCAAATTAAAAGAAACAGATTCTTCCCTTTTATGTGGGAAACAAGCAGACGCTCAGCATTCCTAGAAGTTTCCTTGTTTCTGCAGCTTCCTTAGCAGAGAGAAAAATACCTCCTGCCCCACCTGCTGTGTTGGCTTGCCTGTTTTTAAAACCAGATTCTTCTCTGGAGATGCTCTTACACAGAACCGGCTGCTGGATTTCTCCTTGGTGTCCTTTAAATGTTTGAGGAAGGAGAGAAGAACTGGGGCAGGCGATTTGGGTGGGATGGATCTTGGAACGGAAAGAGTCCTCCTGACAGAATGGATATTCTGACAGATTGACTCTGACTCTGCAGTGTTGGCTAACTGCTTTGTCAGGCAGATAAAGGCGTTCAAACTCGTATAGGAATTCCCAATACATTTTGGCTGCCTCCAGTGTCCGTGATTCCCTGCCCGTGGGATCCTCCGCAGCCTTTCTTGTTAGCCGCCTCTCTTGTGGGGCTTCCTTCTGCCTTTGCCTCTTCCTCTTTCTTTTTATCATCCATCCCGGCTGCAGTGTTTTTTTTGCTAAGGAGCCTGCAACACCGCTTGCGTCGCAGGGGTCTGCTGCAAAGCACCAGGGGCCCCAACGTCGTGGGTCACCTGAGTGGTATTCCGGGTTTTCCTCAGTGCCAGTTAGGGAGTCAAGATCCCAGCCATGTGGCCAGGAATTTCTGGGAGCTACAGGATGACTTGATTCTCCCAGAGCATTATCTGGGGGTGTCTTTCATCCCTGATCTGCAAAGCTCCTGGGCCTTCCCCCCCCCGGGTGAGCTTAGAAAAGGTAGGTCCCTTGCAGCCTGTAATTCTGGCCCTCTCCCTCATCTATTATGCTAGCAAGGCAGTTGTTGTCTTCTTAAGATGACCAGGGTTTGGAGGCAGGAGTCCCTGAGGGGTGTGCCTGTCTCATGTTGGCCAGTAGCCACGGCAGAGGGAGTCTGGCTTGGAACCCCAAAGCTGAGCAAGGCTCAGCCTCTCCCTCGGTACTCTTCCCACCTACCCCCAATTTTTGTCAGCCCTGCAAAGGCCAGTTCTTCCTCGCTTATCCTCCTCGGGCCGCTTCCTCTGCTTCTGCCTTTCCTCCTGAGGATGGTCTAAACCTGCCTGGGCTGCTGGCTGATTTGGGGGAACAGCGGGTTGGTTTGCAACCCTTGGCAGGGGGGGCAGGGGATACTGGGAATGGTTTGTCCAGAAGGGGGGCTCTTGTTCTGGATAGGAAGGTCCCCTTGGCTCCAGGCCTTGAGGATGTGCAAGGTCACTCCCTGGAGCGTGCAGGGCCAGCTCCGGAACTGCCAGGCCCCCCCATCGCTGCTGGGGAGCCTCGCTTCCCTTGAGCACCGGAGGGAGGAACCTGGAAGCAGCCAGATTTGCACCGGTGGGGGGTCTTGCTGTGCAGAACGAATGGACTGAAGCCACTGCCTTCTTTTCCAGCCCCGAGAGAAAGGTCGGATGCGCTTCCACCGGCTACAGAATGTGCAGATTGCTCTGGACTTCCTGAAGCAGCGACAGGTGAGATTTCTCTCTCTCCCCCCCCCCTTTCCGTGTGCCTCTCTTGGGGCGGTCCTTTCCTTCACTCTGTCTCCTTCCACCCATCCTTCATGCCTCCTGGAACGTCTTGGGGATGGTGGTTCTCTCTCCTGGCAGCACTTAAAGCAGCAGCTCTGCCACCCCCTGGCAGCCGTTCAGTTCCTCTGCTCGTTTCCTGAGGCCAGTGCGGTGGGACGTGGCATTGAGTTTAGAGCTTGACAACTCCCCGTGAAAGTTGTGTGGGGCGGCCCTTTGACAGCCCTCCCTCCTGTCCTGTCCGGAACGAGATGGGCGATGGCGGAACTGCTAGAGGTTCCTGCATTTCAGCTCCCATAAATCCTACCTGAGCAGCTGGGCCATCTTCCGGAGGCACACTCATCCTGCAGAGAAAAGGGATGGATGGAGACGGGCAGACGGAGAGGCGTCTCCTGTTGAATTTGAATTAGCAAACACCTACCAAGACCAGAGCGCTGTTGTCACATCAGAGAGTCTGATGCCTGAACATCTCTCCGAGAGCGCCACAAAACTTTATAGATCGCTAGAGAAAAATCAGGAGCCTGGGCTCATCATTAAGGGGCCCCGTTGTAGCTCAGTGGTTAAACTGCAGCAATGCACCCAAACTCTGTTCATGACTAGGGTTCAGTTCCAGGCAGCTGGCTCGAGGTTCACTCACCTTCCAGCCTTCTGGAAGTCAGTAAATTGAGTCCCTAGCTTGCTGGGATGTGTGTCTGCAATGGGTGGCCTGCATAATTAAATAATTAAAATGGCCAGAGAGTGCTTTAAGTGCTATGGGGTGGTATATAAGCATCGTGCTGTGCCTTGTTGCTTTTTATCCCAGAAAATGGGTTAAACCAGCTCAGGCATTTCCAGTCATATCAAAATGCATCTGAGTATCAAGAGAAAAGTATTTCCATCGTTGCAGTGATTTCAGGCAACATCAGCTTGTTTATGTCCACAAACTTTATTTATTGACATTGCTTCAGTGGGTTCCATATGCACGGAATTACTTCAAAGTTGTTGAGAACGTCCAGTAGTCTTACAATTATGAGAAAAATTGTAGAGGCAAGGGGTGAAACAGAAATCCCTCCTTGCAGCTCGTGAAAAGCTACAGGTGTGATTGCCACCCAAAATTCTTGCAACCACAAGAAGCAGCAAACAAAAATACATTGAAAAACAAAACTTAAGTTCCAGGCAGAACTTAAATTGTGTTATAATTGTGTTTCAAAATTGCAGGAGCACACGTTCGGGTGAAACAGAAATCCCTCCTTGCAGCTCGTGAAAAGCTACAGGTGTGATTGCCACCCAAAATTCTTGCAACCACAAGAAGCAGCAAACAGAAGTACATTGAAAAACAAAACTTTAGTTGCAGGCAGAACTTAAATTGTGTTATAAATGTGTTTCAAAATTGCAGGAGCACACGTTCTGAAAACGCAGAAGTGTCTCCTAAAATGGGGCATTGAAAAGCAGAGAATGTAACTCCGAAATACGTCACTAAAAAGTCATTTCATTCTTTATTGTACAGTCACGGACTGGAGTTCATGAAAAAGCTAGAAAGTAAGATTGCTTCTCAGTGTGTCTGAATGACCATAGAAAGGAGCCCCCAAATCTAGGGTTGCCGACCCCCCCATTCCCTGAGATCGTGAGCCCAAACCCTGCATGTGAAGAATGGGCCCTCTCAACAGAACCAGTGGCCACCCTCTTCCTGTTTTTTTGGGGGGGCTGCCTCTGATTCAAGAGGCAGGCTGGGGTGCTGTTAAAATGGTGTCCTGTGCGAGGAAACCGTGGCCGGGGGTGGGATCCTCACAGCCTGAATCTCTCGGACAGAACCAGTGGCCACCCTCTTCCTGTTTTTTTGGGGGGGCTGCCTCTGATTCAAGAGGCAGGCTGGGGTGCTGTTAAAATGGAGGCTGAAGGTGTGGGGAGAGAACGGCGTGACTGGGGTCCCTCCCCGGGAGAGGCACGCAGCCCACCCACCGGGGTTGCAAATCTGGTCTGAAGCTCCCGGGGCTTCATTCTCTAGGGTGGGACCCCCTTTGCTTGCTTGTTCTGTCCTGATACACCTCCGGGACTGCAAGGAGGATACTGGATGGGGATGATTTATTACCCACCGCTCCCTTCAGGACTGCTGGCTCCAGTTAAGGAAGGCAAGGGCCCTGCCCTGGGGAGTGTGAACAGCTTAATAGCACCACTCCCCGCAACGTCCCTAAAGATGTGGTTGCATCTTGCTGGAGGCTCTAGGGAACCCATCTCTCTCTCTCTCTCTCTCTCTCTCTCTCTCTTTCTTTCTCTCCTCAGCAGCAAAAGCAGCATTTGAGGGAGTTCACCTCCTCCTCCCTCTTTTTATTTCAAAAATGCTGCATTTGCTTGTTGAGGCACATTACGTGCAGAACAATCGCAAACACCCTAATTCAGGCTGGGAAAGTTGCAGCCGTCAAGCGTTGGGCCAAGCCCACCCCTCGCTCTTTCCTTTCCATGGGACCTGAGTTTCTGCAGCGTTCCCAGCCAGCCTCCCCCCCCAAATAGCCTGAGATGAGAAGGAGTACGTCTCCTGGCGTCATTCCTCAGCACGAGCAATGCTTGTTCTTGTGGGGGACGATGGGGGTTGTAGTTCCAACGTATTGGGAGTCGATGGGGTGTGGATTGGAGAAGGCTGGCCTGGGCCTTAGGATGGAAAAGGTCGTAGGAGGGAAGACCCGGCTCTTAGAATCAAGCGAACTGGGCCCTAATCTCTGATCGGTGGGGGTGGGAGCCAAAATAGAGGAAATCACGAATAAAGGACGACACACATCAATGCAAGAGAAAACAAAATAAGATGCATAGTGCGTCTGTTAGCTAATCCACAGCTATGGGTGCAAAATGAGAAAAGGTTGGTCTCCTTGGGTGGAACGGCACTTCATCTCACTTGATTAGGTGCGCCTTCTACCAAAGAGAAGCCGGAAATCGCTTGCTGGCATTAATGCGTTAATGCATTTCATCTCACTTGATTAGGTACACCTTCTACTGAAGAGAGGCTGGAAATCGCTTGCTGGCATTAATGCGTTAATGGCACAGTTGTTGTTTTTGCTTTATAAGGCCAACCACCTGATGCCTCTGAAGAATGTTGTTTTGAAAGTAATGTCTGTCTCTCTGTGTGTGTTTTCTTTTTTTAAAACAAAACATGTCAACCTAACTTTAAACAACATTCTTTCTAAAAGACAAAAGCCACCCTTCCTGCTTCATGGACCGGTTACAGTTCTTGGCAAGCTGTGCTGCACCGTGGGTGCGCAGGGATGAGGGCCTCTTTCCGGATCCTTGGTGTTCTTCCTTCTTATGGCTTTCTACTTGTTTGGTCAGCCTGGGACTGGACTGGCCTTCCCACACATGGAAGAGAAAAAAATGGTCCTTTGGTTCCCATACCGACAACCCCCCCCCCTTGTCCCCTGCCCGGGATGGAGGTTTTCTTATGAACGGCCACACCGCGGTGGGGCAAGTGCAGGCCTGTGACGGCTCTTAAAGTTTTGGCAGATCCGGGTGACAAATGATTCGGACGGTCCCTCCCCTGTGGGCACCCGGGGCCCGGCGTAGAGGAAGGATGGCTCCCTTGCCCCTCTGCAGAGCACGGGTGGGAACTGCCCCGTTCGATCCAGGCTGGGTCTAGAAGAAGGATTTTGCCCTTCCGGTCTTCCACCTCCCTTCCCCGAGATGGGGTGGGTGATGCATTCCATTCCGTGTCAGATCCCCAGGCATTTGCAGCCTGGCGTTTTATGAAGTGCCTGGGTTGCATAACTGCAGGGTGTGGGTTGGTTGCGTTTGGGCATGCCATTTATAGGGTCTCCATATATTTTTTAAAAATAGCGTTGGAGGTGGCAAAGGAGTAAACAATCTCTCAACTGAAATGCGAAATATGGTAGCCAAACCTGTAGGGGAAACGTCTTTTCATTTGGGTTTTGTTTTATTTTAAAGGCTGCATGGCAAACGTGCGAGTTGAGAAGGAATGGGTTTATGGGCTTGTATTTTTCCCCCCACTGAATTCCCAGGATAGATTTGCAAAACTGCCCTCTCCGATGCTGGAGTGCTTGACACAAAGCAGGTATAGGGATGGGATTGGCTTATGGCACCTGGCGTGTGTTCCCGCTCAGGGTAGTAAAGAATCTGAAAAAGAGAGCCACGGACCGCACAAGACATGGAACAAACGAAGCTTGTTAGTCTTTTAGATGCCATAAGGTTCTTATTTCCTCTCGTTAGACTGCAGACTAACACAGGACATGGCTCTGAACCTGCCGTTCCCCTGATGTTCTTGGACTACAACTCCCAGAAATCATGGCCAGCACAACTAGTGGTGAAGGCTTCTGGGAGTTGCAGTCCAAAAACACCTAAATAACCCAAGGTTAAGAACCACTGCCTTAGACTACGGCATGGTTAACTCCTCACGGAACAAACGAAGGTTGTTAGTCTTTTAGATGCCATAAGGTTCTTATTTCCTCTCGTTGCAGCAGACTGCAGACTGACACAGGACATGGCTCTGAACCTGCCATTCCCCTGATGTTCTTGGACTACAGCTCCCAGGGACCACAGTGTTAGAAGAACTGGCACCCCACCATTGTCCAGTTATGACGTCGGTGTGGGTCTGTCTCAGCCACATGTGTTCCGTGAGGAGTTAACCATGCCGTAGTCTAAGGCAGTGGTTCTTAACCTTGGGTTACTCAGGTGTTTTTGAACTGCAACTCCCAGAAACCCCGGCCAGCACAGCTGGTGGTGAAGGCTTCTGGGAGTTGCAGTCCAAAAACACCTGAATAACCTAAGGTTAAGAACCACTGGTCTAAGACAGGGGTGCCGAACCCTTTGGCCCTCTGGATGATTTGGACTACAAACCCCACCGTTCTTTATCACTGGCAATACAGGCTGGGGATTCTGGCGGGTTGTGATCCAAAGCATCTGGAGAGCCAAAGCCGTGGCTTTAACACCTTAGAAAGAAATTGGCTGGTAAAACTGACTAAAACCAATCTCTTCGTTTTGCAGGTGTCGCCTGTCTTGGTTCTCCTCTGTTCTCTGTTGGTTTTGTTAACGTTGGCCTCCTTCAACTGCTTGTTCATCTCCTGCTTGCTTTCCAGGTGAAGCTGGTGAACATTCGCAACGATGACATAACAGATGGGAACCCCAAGCTGACTTTGGGGCTGATCTGGACCATTATCCTGCATTTCCAGGTAAGGATTGGGGCTTTTCTCTTTCGCTGAGGGGTGTTAAAGGGAAAGAGGCCCACGTTGCCTCTCAGCTCCCGTTCTGCATCTGTAGGATAAACTGTCTTTGGCAATGAAGCCGGGGTGCTGATTGCTCTGGGGGGGGGGATTAGCATATCCTGGTTTCATGCATTGGGGAGCATGGGCACATCTCTCGTGACATCACAAGAAACCTGTCGGTGAGCCTGTTCGGACCCTAAACTGGCGCTGGTGTGATCAGGAAGTCGTCTGTTCGTTGAGCTGGGTTGCCTAGCTGAGATCTTTGGAGTTTTCTGAAGTACTGGAAACAGACGTTGGCTGTGTTTTGGAGAGGGGTTGCCGGGATCAGAGCTGTGCCTAGGGCAGGGTGCCTGGGACTTTGACCCAGCGGGCTGAAATTTGTGCAAAGGGTGCACAAATCTGCTACTGGAAGCAAGAGCAAAATTTAACCAATTAGGCAGATAAGCCCCAGGTGCCAAAGCGGCCATTTATAAATCTTGTGGTGGGATCCCGCACGGTTGGGACTGTGAACGTTTCAGGTGGATTGCACCACAGTTCACCTGGGAGGGTTTCCATTATACTAGGGGGTTCCCAACCTTGAGTCCCCAGATGTTCTTTTGGGTGGATTGCACCACAGTTCACCTGGGAGTGTTTCCATTATACCAGGGGTTCCCAACCTTGGGTCCCCAGATGTTCTTGGGCTGCATCTTCCAAAACTCTTGGACTAAAACTCTGGGAGGTTTCAGTCCAAGAACCTCTGGGGAGCCAAGGATGGAGACCCCTCTTACCTTGGTTCATGAATCTGGCTCTGTGCTCCTGGTCTGAGCTTCTCCTTCTTACACACGGGGCTTCTCCGGTTTGACCTTTGGTGACGTGGAAGGAATTTTGTCCTCAACGGATGTGAGTTCTCCCGGAAGTCTGGTGGCGGCGGCAGAAACCGTGTTTGGTGCTCCTGGGGTTTTCAGGATGGGATGTTTAAGCTGCGAGAAAGATGCGAGTTCTCAGGGACAAAGTCTGGGGCAGGCAAGAAACCGGACCCACCGCATCCTATCCTTCCTATCTCCGATCTCCTCCTCTTGAGATTTTTTATCATGCACCTTTATGGACTCTTTGCGTTTCGACACTTGGTTGTACGAGGTGGCTTTATCTTGTTGTGATCTTCTTTTTCCTGCGACTGACTGATGTGGTGGAGGAGCCAGGGAGGGGGAGAGCATTGTGAGAGGAGGAGAGTGTTGGGAGGCACATCAGACGCTCGGTGGTGCACGTGGAGGACTTTGAACGATGGAGACGGGGATCCCCTTGGTCCCAGTGGGTCTGTGTGGGAGGACGGTCAGGCGGAGCGAGGAGGCTGGTGCTCTTAGGGACACCCCCCGGCATCCTCGTGTCGACTCCTGGGTTTTCCATGAGGCTTCATAGACTTTTTTGTGTGTGCCTCCCTCTTGCAGCCTCTGGAGAATGTGAGATTTGCCTTCTCGGCAGCCCTCGGCTTGTGCTTTTGAGCTCTGACTCGTAGTGCTGGCCCTCAGGAAGGAAGGTTCCAGCAATTCTTCTCAGAAATGTGAGCATGCCTTGGGAGCCCCAATCCTATGGAGGAGACCCTAGAAACGGGCCTGAACAGAGCTGAAGAAGATGACTGCTCAGCCGACTGGGGACGTGCAGAAGAAAGCCTCGTTCTCTATCAAGCCTTGGCAGTTCAGTTGCCTTCTGGCTAAGTACAGGGGCTGATGGGGTACGTGTGTGCCTGCACACACCCATGCCCACATGCACTTCCCCCCACCCCCTTTGTGTGTCTGAAGAGGGCTCGCTTGGGGCTTCCGTCTGCACAATTTTAGGAAAAATCGCCAGGGGTCGCTCAAGAGGCTCCTGGTTGAAGCCCCGGACACAAGACAGCCCAACTCCATCCTGTATGGCAGACACGGGCAATGTGAAGCCCTCTCCAGATGTTGCTGAACTACAACACCCACCAGCCCCAGGCAGCACAGCTAGTGGTGAGGAACGGTGGGACTCCTGAACGATGCACAGCTTGCGCCGGCAGCGCCGGCAGGTGGAACCAAGCCTTTTCTTGGGCCACCTTTAGGCTGCTACTCACAGGGGTTGAGTCGCACCGCTCTCCACACCTTGATGGTTGTTCCTCAAGGATATGACCTCCTTCCCTGTCATTTTCACAGAAAGCTGGTGCAGAGTTCTAACAAGTGGCCTCGGTCGGTGGTTGAGGTCTCTGGCTGTGGAGCCAGAGGTTGGGAGTTCGATTCCCCCCACGGGGCCTCTTTGAGAAGGGCTGGACTTGAACAGGGTCCCTTCCAGCTCTGCAGTTCTAAGATGATTATGATGATGATGATCCCAGCTACCTCTCCTTTCCTGTGGAGCTCATCCTCAGGCACTAGATGGTGCTCTTGTATAGTGAAAGAAAGCAAGGCAGGACTGGGGTGGAGGCGCTTGCAGGGAGGGGCTGAGCCCCAAGGCAAACCCTTTCTGAATGGGTAGATGGCGTGATCGGGGTGTCAGGATGGCCGGGGAGGGGCTCTGCTGGTGCCCTGGGAGAAGAGCCCCCAGCTGGGAGAGGGCCAGTGGCCTGCAGGTGCTAGCTTAGCCAGGAGATGCTTCTGGGGTGCGGTAGTGCAATCTGCCGCCCTTTGGAATTAAGGAGATTCCTTCCGGGCAGGCTGTCCGGGGCTGTTCCCTTTCCTGTCTGCAGCGGCTGCTGCTTCCGAGGCCTGCAACAACCCCAGCGGTTAAAGCTGTTCTGCTTCCTTTTCTAGCTGGCAGGCTCATGGCTAGAGGGGCACAGAACAGGTCGCATCGTTTTAAACACCCAGAAATAACTGGAGGCTTGTTCCCCTGAGTAGGTTCCTCGGTGCCCCTTCTTTTTTTTTCTTTTGCTTTGTCATTAAACTGAATCAGTGGCATCTTAGTGAGAGATGGGCGACTTTGCTCTCCAGAACGGGAAGAGGACGTTGTGTGGATATAGCATGAATAGGGCAGAAATTGGTCCGAAGGGGCACTTGGCCAGGCCGAGGCAAGGGCCAGAAAGGAAATTTTGTGTGGAAACATTGATGCACATTTGACTAAACAGGAGCAGCTTGCGTTTTTAATTTTGTTCTTAATAAGCTCAGGCGTGTCCTTGTGTTGTTCAAAAGAGCATGCTTGGAACTGATGGTATTTCCAGATGCCCTCTGGCTTCTACCCGACTGGCTTTTGAGATGTTTGGTGCTGAATGATGTGCCTTGCTTTGCGTTCCTTTCCAAACATACGCCCTTCCCCGGCATTTGGGATCTGGAAGTGGTGGGCAGGCCATGGGGGTCAGCCAATCTCTCATAGGGCAGACCCTGAACACGTAGCCAGCCTGACCTATGGCCATTTGGTGGCTGCAACCTCCATGATTTTATCTGATTTTTTTTTCTAAAAACACCCAAGTTGGCAGCTGTCACTACATCTGGTGGCAGTGAGTTCCACAGTTCAGCTATCCACTGTTACCTTCTCTGGAATGCCTCTGTTCCTTGGCTAAGGTGAGGGAAGCAAATGAAGAACCATTTGAAGGACTGATGGATGTGCCTCTCTGTGTATATATCCTCTTGGCCTCTTACTCTGACGGCTTTGCTCCTCCTGGACTTTATTAAGTGAAAGGGGAAACACAGCTCTGTTATCTCCCCTTATCTTGACCACAGGGAGCCCACAGAAATTACGATTGTGCTTTCAACGTGGGCTGCTTTTACCATTTCCCTTCCACGTTGCACTACTTAAGGCTTGCACTTCTTCAATGTATCATTATCCCAATATGTTTGAGTTACACATAGTTTCCTTTATCAGATTTGTAGTTCACATCTCAACTCTGGAAGGGATTCCAGGGCGATTAAGGAAAAGGTGAAAACTTCCCAAAATGCAGCATATAATGTTAGAGTTATCGATCTATCGAATGTACAGGCCACCTTTCTCCTGGTAAGGGGACTCAAGGCAGCTCATAATATTAAAAAGAATAGAATTAAAAACACAATAAATCATACCTTAAAATGTATTTAATACTATTATCATTTACACAAAATGTTCATCTTTTGAAAAAAGATGGATTTTTTTTGTAAATCATATGGCACTAAATAAGATTTTAATGTATTGTTTATTGTGTTTTAAATAAAGGGCAGAAGTGTCCTTATAGGAGACCACAATCAAGATACCCACCAAAAGCTGGAGCTGTGAAAAATATGCAAGACGCCTGGGAAGAAAAGACTTCTTCCAGAGCTTTTAAAAAAGAAGAAGACATAATTGGGCTTCAGGAGAGTGTGGGTCGGAGGGGGGAGCACAGGGTTATTATGGCCAGGGCCTGGTTTGCTAGATCCAGGCAACCTCCCCCCCCATCCCGATAGGGTCACTGGTAGACAGACACCCCCAAGCAAGGAGAAGACGCTGTATTTCAGGGAGGCTGCTTGTGCATCTGATGACAAGGGTGGACCCAAGAGGAACCACCTGCGATTTGATAAATCGGAGCAGTTGTGCTTCAGCTACCCAGTTTAAATTTTTTGGTTTTTTGCAGTCTGTCTTTTGATGAAGGCAAAAGCATTTTCCCAGCTGTTTTATATATATATAACATAAAATACCTGGAAATATGCGTTAAATGAAAGTTTTAGCATGGCGGTGCTGGAATGCTGTTTCCAAGAAGTGTTTATAAAATATTTCTGATTGAGTCGCAGATAAAGGGGGGAAGGCAGCTATTTTGCCTCTCCAGAGCCACTTGATTGCATGGGCTAAACGAGAACCCACCTTCCCCATGCACACGTGTGCATGTGTGTAAGTGTGTGTGTTGTTTTTCTTGGCCTCCACCTGGCCTTCCTTGGATTTCTGGTCCTGTTAAGCCTCCCCCCTCCTAACGCCCTCCCCATCATGGCACCTGTAGCGAACCCCTAGTTTTTCCTTGTGGCAGAGATGCATGTGAAGGACCCACACCTGAGTGGCTGGCTGGTTTTGTGATCTGGGGCAGGCACCTCTGTGTCCGAAGT